GAGGGGTAGAGGGGCAGGAGGAGGCATGGGTTTTGGGGAAGCATGKTTAATATGTTGGGGGAAGGATGGGCAGCCTGTCAGGGAGGACAAAAGCATCCTTGCTAAGCTGGTCACAATCTCTGCCCCCTCCCCCAGGTTTGGGCCGTGCCTTGCCAGCAGATTTTTGGCTGGTAGCCAGGTGAGGGGCTCCCCACTGGGGCAGGCAAACAGTACCAACCCCCTCCCCACTCCTCCTCCTTCTCCCATGCCCAAGGCAGGGTTGATGCAGTTTYCCGTGCCCTCAAACAGCAGTGGGGMAAGGCAGCACAGACRGCGTGGCCACGGTTTTCTCTCCTCTTCCTGGGGACAGCAGCTCCTGCTCTCCTGTGGAGCCCAAGGGATGCCCTTCCCAGGGAGCTCCAGCCAGCGAGAAACTCAGGAGCAGGTGGTGCAAATAAGAAACACTTCAGTGAGGGACTGTTTTAAGACAAGACTCTTTCAAGCAAGCAGGAGAACAAAAGATGTCRAAAGAAGTGCCCAGCATCACAGTGTAGACGAGCCCTGCCCTCCCGCTTTCCTGCCTGGTGGCAGCCAGCACATCCACTTCACCCTGCGTGCTCGCTCCTGTCAATGGGAACCGCGGGTGGAGGGACGTGAAGGGAAGAGGTGGTGACAGGAAGACAGCAACAGCCACGCCGCTGTTATCTCCCCGAAGCCGGGAATGTGGCCCCGCGCCCAGGCGGCTCTCAACGGACGCGGGGATGGATACATCCAACGTAGACACCGACAGGGCTGGCAGCCAAGTGCCAGCAGCTTAAATTAAAAATCGAGGTAGCAAACATCTGAAGTGCTTAGAAAGTAAATAAGTTCTGGAACGAAAGAGGAGGAAAGCCGAGCTGGCTGCTGTGGGGAGTAGGCTCTGACCCACTTTAAAGCTGTGCCTGCTGCCGGTCCTCCTTTGCCTGCCCAGTCCAGGCACAGCCAAACAGGGAGGCAGGGGCTCCTCATGCTGCCACGGGGCATGTGGGGTCAGGCCTGTCCCCCAGCAGCTGGACACACGCAGGGGTGAGAGGTTCTTCGGTGCCRCCAAGACCTCGACCTTCTCAGGCGGGAGGAAAGAGGAGAAAAGAGCAGGACCTTCCGAGGTGGGGCAGAAAGCCTCCCTTTAAAGTGCATTGCATTTCTCCTCCTGCCACCAGCTCGGATGCGGGAGGAACCACAGTTCACATCGCCAGGGAGATTTCCAAGCCGGGGCAGGTATGCTGATTGATTGTTTTGTGGGGACAGGGAAGGAAGAGAGGATTCCTTTCCTGCTTGGCTCAGTCAAGGCCCAGCCTACAGGGAGGTATGTTCAAACAGCAGTGGGGGTGAGGCAGCTGCCGGCAGCCCAGCAGGAGCCAGTGTGGGAATGGGGGAGGCAAATCTGCTGYGGAGCTGGGACCTTGCTGCCACCAGCAATGGCCATGGATTGCAGAGATCTCCAGCAGAYAGCAGCAGAGCCAATCTCCCCAGTGCTGGCCTAAGTGGGGAAACACAGGGGAAAAAGAGACCAAGGTCCAAGAGAGCGGCATATGATCTCCATCCCCTTCCCGAGAGGAGAKCAGCAGCCAGCCTGATGTGCTTTGAGACCCCTCAGCCTGCCCTGTTTATCCTCYGTCAACAAAGCCACCAGGGGAGCATCACATCACACTGCTGTCAAGGGACATGCTGCAACACTGGCCATCTAACCTGCGGGCCCCAGGGACCTCGGGGCCCAGGGCAGGGTGTCACCGTGCCCTGGCTCTCCCTGGGCCGCATACCTGAGAAGCRGGGGATTCTCTCTGGTGAGAAGTGCAGGCTTGCTCTCTTTTTAACAGCTCAATCACAGCAGCTCGTTTGCAGTTCCAGTTACCCATCAAACGTCGGCTAGAGGCTACAAAAGGTATTTTAAGTCTTCTGACTCAAGCGAGGATGTTTTTAAGCAGTCGTTGCACAAAGTCACCCATCTCCTGYGAGGGCCTGCTCCATCCCACCTCACCTCCAGGCGAGGGGAGAGCCGCCGTCCCGCCGTGCGCCCGGAGTCCTCCTCGGTGGAAACACAACGTAGCCTGGCCTGGCGAGGCTGGGGGCGGTGGGGCAGGGCCTCCGGCCCACGGGCAGCCATGTCTGGAACTCACACCTCGCAGATGATCACCGGGAAATCCACGTGGATGCGAGGATGCTCTAGTTTCACTATGCCCTGAAAGAAGAGTCAGAATGGTGAGCAGAAGGAATGGCCTATCAGCATCCCCAAGCCCTGCCAGTCACCCGGTGACACAGAACACTGTGCCCTTCAGGAACCGGAGGGACCAGGGTCCATAAGGCACCTGTGACACTTGAGCAGTAGCACACGAAGCACCAGCACTTTGCCCTTTGCACTTGTCCCTGGAGAGCCGAGGGCAGCACGGCTGGCTGCCACACATGGCAGGGCGAGAAAGGAGGGAGCTGCTCTGCCAGGCACTGCCCGTGCAGCAGCTGGTGCGTGACTGGCAGATATTGGCTGTCTGGGCTTTTCATCCGGCACCTTTCATTCACGGGATTTAGAAGAATGAAAAGAGCTCTCTGAGAGAACGCAGCCGGGGCAGCTGGCGCGCAAGAAAAGCGGCTTTCTGTGCAGAGGGGAGGCTGCTGAATGCATGCTCCCTCCACACCAGCCACAGGAACCGTTCCCATGCCCCGTCCAAGCCTTCTCCTGTTACAGCACCGGGAGGAGCYGCTGGCAGGTGGGGGGCTGGGGCAGAGGGGGGATGGGGGCTCGGGGCTGGGCCTGCACTGGGCCGCAGAACCAGAGCAAAGCCTGTGCTAGCAGAGGACTATTCAGTGCTGGTACCTGCTCTCTTCAGCTCAGCTAAGCTTTCCAACTGGGYGAGTTTCAGCCCACATCAACGAGGAGCCATTTCCACAGTTCAAGCCTGCCTCTGCTAGAATGCCAGCTCAGGAAGCAGCAGCAAATCCTTACACCCTAAACTGCACCGCGCTCAGAGGGCTCCCATCCTGCTGGGGGCCAGGCCACACCACAGAGCACACTGACATCTCACCCCAGGTGCTCACTACAGCCATACCTTTCTCCTTAATTAGGGAAGACTYCTATAGGGTCTCTCTCCAGTCCTGGTTTGATTTGCCCTTTCCTCCATTTATACTCCCAGAAGATTCCCTACATGCAGGCTTTCCTGCCCCTGCACCATGATCCTCACTTGACATCCCAGCCCCTTCCCAGCTTCACACCACTTATTTAAAGAGGAGATTTTTCCASTGAAGAGCAAAGCACAGAGCCATCAACACTACTGAGCAGCTGGAGGGGATGTGCACGCTCATGTCAGCAGCTGACGGACTTTGGCTGCTGCTCCCCAACACAGAGCCTGGCCCTCTGCAGTGACACGACACTGGCAGAGCCAGCACAGCCCCCTACACCTCGTGGAAGGCACTTGGTAATGAGACACTGTGGYTATGCAGGGCTGCCTGGCACTGTGCCCCACAACATATACCGGCTGAGCTATCTTCTGCTACTTCGCAGCTCTGAAAAGTTCAAGAACTGCTTCTTTCCAAAAAGGGCAGCTGGAGGGTGCCACTAACTCTCCCTCTCCTGTCACAGCCTCAGGTGACACGGGTGCGAGCCARGACACACAGGGATCGTGGCTCTGAGGCAGAAACTGGGGGGAAGAGAGAGTCTCCACCTTTCCAGCAAGATGCCCTGAGGGAGATGGCACCTGTAAAGCCAGGACTTCAGGCATCACCGTGGTGCTTTCCACTCACTTTCCCCCAACCTTTCTCCACGCATTACCTGAGGTATCAGGTTCTTGTGGATCCTCTTCAGCTTGGCGCGCTTCCTCCCGTTCTTGGTGACGATTGTCTCCTCGTAGAACTCGTGAGCAAGATCCCCGTCCTCATCGTAATACATGGAGCTGCCGAGAGGAGAGGGGAGGCGTTGAGGTGAGAGCCYGCCGGCCGTGTCGGCTCCCTGCACCGAGCCGGGCCGAGGGCTGGGGCAGAGCGGTCCTCCCTCCCCCGGGGAGCTGCAGCGATCACTGGGCGCTGCCGGCGGCTCCTCCCGCCCCCCGCGCCGTGCCTGTGCTGGACCGGCCGAGCAGCAGAGCCCCCGCCCCGCACAGCCGCCCCCGCGCCCCGTCTCACCCGCGCCGTGTGAACACGAAGGGGGTGGCGGCGCGCGCGGCCCGCGCCCGGGCCAGGGCCTGCTGCCCGCCGGGGCCCTCGGAGCCGCCGCCGCCCGCCGCCGGGGTGGCGAAGGGCCACAGCCCCCGCGACTTGGAGCCGCTGGCGCCCATGGCGGGGGCGGCGGCGGCGGGAGCGGGCCGGGGGAGGGAAAGGGAGGGGGGCGGCCCGGAGCCGCCCGGCGACACCGACCGAGCGCCGCCTGCGCCGCCACCCGCGCCACTTCCGGCGCCCGCGTCACGTGACAGCGGCGGGCAGCGCGCGCTCCTCCCCGCCCGCCGGCGGCGGCCGCGCGGGAGCCSCGGGTTCGAGTCCCGCCACCGTCATCCCCGGCCCGCTGACACCGCGGACACTGCGCGTCCCGCCCCTTCCCACCACAGCCCGCCTCGCCAAGGATACACCGCAGGCCAGGCCTCGTCACCAAGATGCCTTTATTGGTGCTTGATGCCCTGCTTCTGCCCAGGGACACTCACTTCGCCGGGGACATTCGCTCCCCCCAAGA